GAGGCGCCATTCTTGAAGCCTCCGGGCATGTTCACCGAGGGCTAGACAAGCCTGCAGACCAACAACCAAAACGGTTAAAGGCAATTGCACAACATAATCGAAGGAGAAAAGGAAGAAAGCTGAGTAAACACTTACAGAAAGGGAGGAGCGGAGAATGTGGTCCTCGAGGGCCGCATCGTTATAGGCCCCGAGGGCAGCCCTATCAGTCTCAGGGGTTATGCCCCTCAAGATGGCCCCCGGGTCGACAGCGCCGCTGGCCAGGGATGTCCCCCTCAGGAACGAAACTTGGAGGACCTCAGGCAGCAACTCCTCTGCCCCCGCCGGCGTTTCACCCGACGACTTCTCCACATGCACCCCGGAGGCGGGGTGCTCATCAGCAATAATGACCGGGGGCTCCTTCTCGGCGCTATCCCCCTTCTTCGGCTTTTGGTAGCCGGGGGGGACCCTTTGGTCGCCGCCTTCCTCTTGCCGGCAGCAGCATCGCCCTCGGCTTTCTTGAAGAGGGCAGTAGCGGGCTTCTGGCTGCCCTGTCCCGACCCCTTCGGGTCCTGTTTCTTCAGACGAGCGAGGCCCTTCACGTTCACCATGGAGACGGGGATACCTGCAAAAAATATGACAAAGGGTTAGGCCGACGGGTCTAAGCGAAGGGACAATGACATCCAAGCAAAAATAAAACTAGGTACAGAATTCTAAAGCCCTCGGCTCCTACCTCCGGCTCCTCCGAAGGCCTTGTTGAAGGGAGGGTACTTCTCATCGGTCTCCCCTATGAAGCGGTACCTCCGGAACCCGAGGGTGTATAAATCCTCCTCGAGGGTGCAGTCTTTGATCGCCACGTTCTTATTTTTCCCCTCCGGGAACTTGGCCAGCTTTAGGCCGTCTTTCTCGAGAGCAGCACTCCTGATTTTTTCGTGCCTTCGGAATCGATCACGCAGCTCCCTCGGGAATGGGCTCTCACCCAACTTTACGTAGCACCAACGTTCCCTCCATCCTTTGTTGGAAGAAGGAGCATCGGAGAATAGCTTGAAGCGGGCAATCTGCTGCAGGTTTGCGTACCCCTCGCCGTTTTCGTGCCCCCCCGGCACAAATTAAAGCTCTGGAAGAATAGATCCAGGCTGGGCTTCACCCCTCGGTACTTGCAGAGCTGGAGGAACCCAGCAATGTAGGAGTGGCTGTTGGGCGTGAGTTGGCAGGGGACCAAACCAACAAACCTCAAATACTCCCGGAGGAACGGGTGCAGAGGGAACCTAAGTCCCATGGAAACCGAGAGGACGTGAATAGCGATACACCCCTCGGGTGCCCTGGACAACACGTCGTCGGGACCTGGCTCCACCACTTCGGCCGAGGGCCCCACGTGCAGCTGAGTCACGTACAGATCTGCCCTATCAGCCTTCGACCTAATCTCGAGGGCCTCAGTGTTCAGCCAACTGTACCCCTCGGGCATGTCCACGGGCTTTCCTTGATCGACGGCCCTCTCCTTCTTCTTAGTAGCGGCCTTCTTCTTCTTCAAACCGGAAACCGCCCTCAGAGGTATCGGATCCAGCGGCCTCGAGCTACTGGCCTCCCCAGAACCCCGAGGGGGGAGAACAACAATCGTAACCTTCGAGCTCTCATTCTGCGCCTCATCCTCCGCTGTTTGCCATGCGAGGGCTAAGTCTTCATCCTCACACTCCTGCTCGAAGCCCTCGGCTTCGACCTCAGCAATGAGTTCCTTCTGGACCTCCCGGGCCAGGGCGGCATCAGCACCATCCGAGGGCTGACCGCTGCTGGACTCCACGTCAGAGATGCCTTCGTTCTCCATCGAGGGCGTCCTCGAGATGTCCTGAGAATCACTCTGGGACGACATGCTGACTCTAGTCCGAAGGCTCGTAGACGCTAATGTTTTCTAAATTTTCTATCTCCTAACCTAAGGGCACAGTACAGATAGCTAAGAGGTGAAGGGAAAGCGGGCACTGACCTTGAAAGCAGAAGCTGTGACCGAAGGCCTGAGTTTCTCTCACTAGAATTTTGGGCAGAGCTTCGCTAAGACAAATGATCGCACAAGGGGAAATGGCTCTGGCCTTGGGGTATTTATAGGCGCTGGAATCTGGGCTTGGGCCCGGAAACCGGGCCTCCGGACGGACCGCCATCATTACACACCGTCGTTTCACCCAACCGGTGACGCCGCCCGCGAACAGCCAGCCATCACACGCCACGTGTGCCACCCCCCCCCCCCCCCAACGGCTATAGCCTGTCGTTACATATTCCAACGGCTATATTTCCAACGGCTATATTCTGGAAGCCCCCGGGTTTTCTACTTCACTCCACTTCATCAAGGATAGCCTCCGGGTACACTCACTCAGAAGTGCCCCCGGGTTGTGCCCCACACAGCACATAACAGACGCCTTCGGGATCACTCCCTCAGAAACCCAGGGCTTCATATCAGGGCACCCCTCGGGGATTCCCCCTCAGCGCTGCAAAACCGGGTAGCCCCTGGGGAGTTACCTCATTGACGGATAACCCGTGGCACACAGGTAATGGGAGCCCTCGGGTATCTTCATCACCAACTAATCAACAAACAGTGGACCCCCCGGCAACAGTTAAATTATTGCCCTCATCCAGCAGGCCCTCGATCCCCGGATTGAGGGGCTCCCCTTCGGCACCCCCAGGATATCAACAGCAAGCCTTCGGCTGATCAATACATGAGCCCTCAGGAAAAGAAGAGCCTTCGGCATTACCGTATTCTCCATTTTTGACCAAGGTTTGACATTTTCGATTCATCATTGGGGGAATTCGGTGCACTCTTTTTCCCTCATTAGGATTTTTTCCCACAGGGTTTTTCCTAATGAGGTTTTTAACGAGGCATCCCCCCAAAATGAAATGAAAAGCGCCAGCCTTCGGCCCACAACAGCAACGTAACTACTTTACTCCTTTTCACCACTTTACAAGTGCCTCAAGGAGTGGGGGACTGGGGGACCCCCTCGGGAAAATCATTAAATTACAAAATCTGTGAAATTCCAACAAATGACAAGGCAAGCCCTCAAGTCCCGACATGTGGGTAACTGAGGGACTGCCTTCGGCAGGGACATAAAAGCAACAACTCCTCACCAACTTCAGAAATCACGATGGGACAACATCAAAGGGCAAGCACAAGTTACTCCTTTTCCCTCAAGTACCTTTCGGCAAAAGGAGTGAGAGACTCCTGATGGAGTATATGGCCCGGGAACCCCCGGCCCACAGACTCCTACTACTCCAGCGAAGGCCCAACAGACCTAGAAGGCCCAACAGGCCCAGATCACAGCGCCCAGAGTACCAAGCAGCCCGCACTACGCGCCAGGGGTGCCTTCGGCCCCCTGGCCGAAGGCTCTAAACTCTCACAGGACGGGCTTCGCAAGCAAATTAAGAAACTGGGAGAAAACGGCGAAAACAGTAGCCCTCGGCATTGTGAGCCCTCGCCACCAGGATGCCATCGGGTGGAAGAGCCCTCGGCTACTGCTCTATAGCCGAAGGCATCTCATTCGACAGGATATCCGCCTCACATGCGTACAGATCACCGTACCCCGCATAGACGTCCCATCCAACAGCCGCATTAAATGCGGCCACATGCGGCTGCCAGTGCCAACCAGTTGAGGTGACCCCTCGGCCAATGAGCGCTTGACACGTGTCCCTGCCTGGCATTTATTGCTACTATAAATAGCACCCCATTTCCTCATTTGTAACCACGCTGAAAACGGCATTCATACTGAATACACTCTCTCTCTACTTTTACGTACTTGCTCCGACTTCTCTCTAAGTTATTCCCCGTAATAACCCTTCGGATATATACCCCCGGGTAGACTATCCATCAAACTCATATTTCAAAAATATCATATTAAATTAAATTGGCATTTTGAAATTAATAGGAGTGTAATATAGATACTAGTATAATTTAATACGTAGTAGCTTTTTATAAAAGAAAAAAAAAGAAAAAAATTGAATTAGAAAATATGAAGCAGAGATCGTGATACTCATTGTTAGCTCCTTGATAATCAATAGAATAAGTCAGATGCTCACTAAATGTACACTATTGTTCATTTCGCGGAAGTCATGATTTTTCGCTTAAATTACAAAAACGCCACCGAAAAAAATTGGGTTGTATTAGTTAATGGGCTGTCTTCCTTAGTTGGATTGGATGTACATACACCTGGATGTATGATATAGGGACTGACTGGACTAGTCAATATAAAGAGTTTTTTTTTAAATAAATTTTTACTTGAATTTTTTACTTGAATTTTTTACACTAACAATTAAAGCATCTTTTAAGTTTGGTTTATGATCAGCGGGAATACAAACAAAGGTGAAGTTAAGAACATATTAGTTGGTGGTCAATATTAGCTACTGAGAATAAGAAACTAGGGCGATTTATAAAGGGGTAGAAATAGAGACACCAAACATAAGTTTCTTTTGTCAGCAAAAAATCACTATTTGCTTGTAATTAAAGTGTAACAACTATGAGTTCGTGAGTCATATCTTGGTTTCTTGCCCCTAACCTAAAGAAGTTCAAAAATATTTTTGCTCTGTTGCCAGAAAATCCATTCCTGATGGATCTTCCTTTAGTCCAAAGCTGCTACTTTTATAGCTCTAAACGGCCTAAATATGATAATCTTGGCTATAATGAGAGCCTATTATTGGAGAAAATTAAATATCACATTTGGTGTAAATGAACTAATGCTATTATTTGGCAGATTTCCAAAGTTCTAAAACAAGCTTTGATGGTGTTCAAGGTGCCTTGTGTAAAAAGCTTAAACTGTTGACTATACCTTGGGCAAACATAACTATTTCATGATTTAAAGTTAATTCTTATGGTGCTAAAGATTCTAATAAGAACATAGCTGGAGGTGTATCATTAGTAATTAGTAATGCTAATGGAACCCTTATTGCTGTTTTCACAAGTACACGGCTACAACTCTGAGTCTGTGTTGGAAGTTGAAATAAATAACTATGGTTTGGATTTGGGACTTCAGGTGAATTCTAAAACGATTATCTGGGAATGTGATACCATTAATTGCATTGAGATGTACACCAATGACATTTGTAATGTATCACAAATTTGGGCACTTATCATGGTAATTCAATAACATCACGGGCTCTGGGGGACATACATGCTTATTTTTTTTTTCATTTACCCCAGTGTCACAAAGGCTCCCACCTACGGTGAGGTAAGGGGGGGTCGGATGTACGCAGTCTTACCCCTGTACTAAAGCACAGAGAGACTGTTTCCGGATGACCCATAGTGAAAATCTTGTCCAAAATTGCATGGACTGGCTGCTGCTTCATAACATGCTTAAATGGACTAAAGAAATTAGGATACATGACACTAGCACTACCAAGAATTCCTCAGCGCATAAAAACAATAGTAGTAATTCAAAATTTTACAATATGGATCCAGGGGAGATATGGTCACCCGTCACCCATGTAAACCAAACCTGTAACTTCAGTTTTTTGTGAAGCTAATTACGGACCCCGTCGAATCCACTGCATTATATCCTCCCGTATGATATTATGGGAAAAGTTTCCAAGGTCAGCTTTGGTGGAATCAACAAGCCGCCAGTTACTGCTGATGAACTGCCTGTATTGGTGGTGGATGCTGGTAGGTGTTCCTGCAGGCCTCATCATCATTGCAACGGTGGGAAAGGTTTTTGGCAACAACATAGTATTCCTTAACGATGATGATGATGATGTAAAGAGATGCCTGCTGTTCGAATTGTTTTCCTGCTGTTCCTGCCCGTTAGGGTGGTCAAACTTCTTGGTGGATGTAGTACGGACCTGTTGTTTGGTAGAGAGTCTGTTTCCATTGTCAATACGAGAATGAGGAGGATGAAGGGGTCGTCCTCGGATGTTTGCTGCTGGCTTTGCTTTATCAAGCCATCTAAGGATCCAGTTTCCCAAGTTCCTTCCAGCTTCAAGATCTCTCTCTTGTATTTTCTGATGAACATTCAGTGCCACATCAAACACATCTCTTGTTCGCCTGCAGCACACAATCAGCTACAACATATATACAAACATTCCCACTTCCCAATGGTTCTGACACACAATAATTTATCCACTTTAAATGACAAGCCACATCTATTAGAGCATGAATGTTGTTGTTTGACCCATATTGAAAAAAATACTATGTTGTGCAAAATAGCATGGAAAATCAAGCTTATGCTTATCAAATGTGCTCACCAAGAAATATATATAAATCCCTCTATTCAAAAAGAAAACAATGAGGTTATAGTATTATTTAATATATCTGGTCAAGAGAGATACAGAACCATTTTTTATAACCAAATGGAAAGTGTGGGACTCATATTCACAGCACTGATATTATTCATTTTACCTAAAAATTTAAACAGAATAAATATCTCTAATATAATATAGAAGAATTAAAAAACAATATGCAAGATAGTCTCCTCTCAATGATTAACAAAGCTGCCAATGAAGAATGAACACATATAGGGAAATTTATACCGCTTATATTATAATGTTTCTGATCTATGGCAGTGATGGCATCAACACACATTGGTTACTTATTGTTAAATTGGGTCTAAATCGCCATGTTACCCTCAAAGGATATTCAAAGAATGGGGTTTACCCTCGCATTATACATTAGATTCACACCTAGTAGACAAAAAATGAAGTTCATATATAATATTAAACTTATGTTTACAAATGCATCTTCAATTCTACTGTACAAAGATTTACATGATTTTTTGTTATACCGCTATAAATCTTGACATCTGTATCATGACTGTCCTCATGAAAAGTAACTAAAACTGTTTCAGGATGTTATACTTCATGATTGAATTTAAGATGATTAAAATTACAAAAACAAATTTGTCTACTTACTCAAGTATGCGGACTGTCACAAATGACAATAAATTGAAAGGTTAAGTACTTTTGTAAATACGAAAGAAGAACCAACTATCGGCATTCTACTTCTAAAATAACAGGTTATAACCAATCATATTTGCAATACTTAACTGGTATGAAAAGGCTAAGCCAGAGCAATACTCAATGAGGTAAAAGAAAACAGGCTCGTGTTAATCTTTTAAGATACTCAATACGTTTCCACCACTAACATTTCACACAAATTCAGATATTTCATGAAGACATTAATCTTTTAAAAATTTCTAAAGAGAATAAATATGAAAGGAAATTGCCCTACATAGGATGATAGGAGTAAGAACACCATGAAATTACAAAATAGGAATACTATGTTTTTCAGCTAAACAGGAGTAAGTTTAATACTGCCCAACTATAATTTCGGTACGCATTAAGTCACTAAAAAATATGAAAAAAATAGTATTTTTACTTTAGAATTTCAACTCGTTTTACTTTTATATGGCGAAATTCCTCTTAATATAACTACATTGTCAATATCCAACAGGATTACCTAGATTTTCCAGCAACTACTAACAACAAGTTTCTCTATTAATAATACTCCTCCATCCCACTACAATTGTGTCGTACCAAATTTGATTATAATTATGTTCTTCTGTGTCTTTCTTACTTTATTCTCACTTTATCGGTTCCAAATCAATCACATAAACTAACTTTTCTTGATGATTGCTTCATCTCCTCTCCTCTTATACAAATGTTAAGGGGACGGAGTATAATATTATTCCATAATTTTAACATCACCACAATCAGAAAATCGGGACATCAACAAATTACAGGAAGTGACAATACGTTTTAGACATATTCTCATTAAACTGATGGAATATCCTGAAGGTGATGCACAAAGATATGAGAATTAAAACTTGATGCATATCGATCAAAACATAAGTTGAAAACTAAAAAGTTCTACCAAGATCGAGAAGAGAAAAAGGAAAAGGAGCTTACTTGCGAGCAAATTGAGAAATCTTGGGATATTTGGGGCTAATCACCCGCCGCTGAATCCTCAATGCGAGTCGGTACGTTCTCTTCAAGCCTAAGAAGTACGCCGTTGCCAATGTCACCTCCCATAGTACCATTTTCCCCAATCGCGCGCTTTCCTTCCTTCCTCTTCTTCTATCCCTTCAGACTCAATAGTACAATGCATAGGTCGATCAGATTCTCTCTATTTTTCCAAGAACTTGAAGAAATTGATTCGGTTTCGTTCTGGGCAAGGCAGGTTGTCTATTCGTAACAAACCCGGTCCGGGTGACCTGACAATTTTTTCGGAAGAAACAGCTTAAATTGATATGACAAATACGGAGTACTACGTACTTAGATAGGGGTTAAAACAACAAAAAAAATCACAAACAGTCATCAGACGGATACGGGGTGTTTGACGGTTAAGTGTACTAATGGTGCAAACCATTCCAAAGAGTCTAAAATAGTAATAGCACTGTAGCATATCTAAAAGAGTAAAAGTCACCCCATTTAGTGCGCTTTACGTAGGTAAATGCTTATACGGAGTACGCTATGACTGCTCCCTATTTTTGTACTCCCAGTCCCTTAAATCTTTGCCAAGTTTGATCGGCACGAGGATTAATAAAGTAAAAACTGTGTGGTAGATATTTGTGCAGAGAAGAGACAATTAACTGAAACCATAAATTCTTTACTCAAAAGGGAAAGTGAAAAAGTTAGTGGGACATCCAAAAAAGGAAAGTTAAGAAAGTTTTAAGGGACAGAGGGAGTATGTAATATTTGTCTTAATTTCATTTTAGTAAATATTGTAATTATATTTTTTCATATTCTGCAGTTAATTCTAGTAAGGATGTTTGTAATTGCACTAAATTTTTTTGGTCTGATATGATCTATTTAAGTCCGGACTGGTCTAAACTAATCCGATAAATGTATAGTCTTGGTTATTTTATAACTATCGAAGACTGATCTGGTTTGGTCTATTTATGTTTAGTCTGATCTGATCAAGTCTGTTTAAGTCTAATCAGATCTGTTCAAATCTGATCTGGAATGAAAGTAAAAACATCTTAATTCTGAAGTATAAAAATACTAAGGCTATGTTTGGCACAACGAGCTGAAACTGGAGTCTAATGTCTGAATGGTAGGTTACTGTCTGAATGAGAGACTATTGTCTAAAACTGAACTTTGAAATGCTGAATCTGAATTGCTAGCTGAATGACATAGATCCGTTTGGTAAAATGAGCTGAAAATGTCATGGTAATATGAAATTACATTAAAGGGCATATAATTAATTATTACAATAAAATGTTTATTATAGTGATTTTTTATTTTAATACATATTTAAATATATTTATATTTGCATGTGTGTGTATATATGTAATATATTTCTAGGTTTAGATTTATATAATGCTCTTCAGTACTTCTCAAAAGTTATTTTTCTGTCCACCATCTACGATAGGAAATTTTTCAAAGTCTATAATGCATATCCAAAGAATCATTATAAGAAGAGATTCACTTGGATATATTTAAAAACCAACAGACTTTTCTATATAAACAAGAAGAAAGTTATGAAGAAATCGTGCTATTCACCGGCAACAAGGAGAAAAACAAGGGAAAGGGAAATCTCAAAAAGACATCCATAGAAGAAATCAAAGGAACGTGGAGGAGAAGAGGTGAAGAAGTGCAACGGTGCAGGGATAATTTTGTCATAGACAAGAGTTATATTATCGACTGGATTGAAACGCTTGGGAGACCAACGTTTGTCCTCATCTCAATATATTCAGCTTCTTTTTAATTCAGCTATGTATCCAAACAATGCTATTTCAATTTTAATTAGCTGGATTTGAAAAAATCCAGCCCTTTAAGGGCTGAAATGGCATGCCAAACATAGCCTAAGTACTCCCTCTGTCCTGCTTAAAGTTTGACTGACCATAAAGTTAATTGATGTCTATCATTAATATGATTAATTTTAGTAAATAAAATTTACATATTAAGAAACTAAATTAAAAGTTTTATAATATATGATCAACAAAAAATAACTTTGATAAAAGCTAGGTAAATAAAGTAAAAAATTTAGAACAGTGCACGTTGACCGGATAATTAGGGACGAGAACCTTTAAATGGGATGAAAGAAGTGTCTACGTAGTATTCCTAAAAAAACAATACGCATCCCAAAGTATTACTCCCTCTGTATTTTTTTGTTCTCTACAATAGGGTTGCGCACAACATTTACGGGTGAAATAGTAGGGGTAATGAATAGTATAGAAAAAGTAGGAGAGAATGTGGAAAAGTATGAAAGGGAAGATAAAAAGTATGAAAAATAAGGGTAATTGAGTATTTTTTAAAAGAAAAACTTACCAAAAAGGGAAAATGTAACAAACTTTTAAATACATCCAAAAAAAGGAAAGTGTAGCAAACTTTAAATTAAAATACATGAAGGTACCATAATCACAATAATTACTTGAAAGTAAAAATAGAAACATCACATATTTAATTCCATTTTTGGGTATACGGATGTGGTGTCTTTTTAGCTTGTGTTTTTTGGAGGTGAGAGGAAAGTTCAAACTATGATTTGACTTTAAATAATTAGGAGTCAGGGAGAGAAAGTATGAATTACTGTATTACACCATTTGGAAACACTTGCAAAAAAAGTACCCTGTTTCGTCATTGTCTCGGATACGGATTCGCAAAAATGCGGAAACGAATACGATGATACGACAAAATAAAAAAAAGGTAAGATGCGGATACGAGGCATATTTTTAAATATTAAAAGTTATGAGGAGTAAAATTTATGGGGGTGTATTTATAAATATATACATATATATATATATATATATATATATATATATATATATATATATATATATATATATATATATACACACATGTTATCTTCTGACCTCTGCCCGTCATGGAATTAAATAAATCCATTATTTATCTCGCATACACTAGTGCATCTTGAAATATAAATATAGTTAATAAGTCATTAATTTAAAATAAAAAATGAATCAAATAACCACAATTTTAAAATTAAAAGTTCAAATACGCAAAGTTCTTGAATAATGGAGAGAAAATAATCCTCAGAAAAAAAACTAAAATTTCAGGTGCATATTTCCACTAGAGCTACAAAGTTACTAATTTCCGCGAATAACATCGTCTTTAAAAGGACAACCTTCAATTCTGGTTCATCTATGGAAAGGTTGGCAAATTCAAACTCATATGTACTTCATGCTCCACCTCCACCAACATCTCACATTTTACTTGTCGTCCATATACCTGGTTGTGCAATTTATTTTTAACTTGTCATTTTATAAGAATTTTAAAAAAATTGGGTGTTTTTTATATATAAAAGTTGATACATGTGTCCGTCAGAACACAGGTATCCGAAATTTAAAAATAATTACAAAAATAGTTTGAAACTTTTGATAAATTACAGATACGGCTCGAGAATGTACAATACGGGTATCCTAAAATATCTAATACGGTAACGTTTCCGATACGTCGATACGGTACCCTAATGAATTCATAGGCTGACATTTTAAACATGCCTTGTATAAAAAGTGCAAAATAATTCTTGTTATACACAAAATTTATATATATTTCCTACACGGACAATATTGTACGTGTTATCTATGTACACAATGAACTAGGAGTACATATATTGCCCGTGTGCAAAGACAATTACGTATAATATGTACAAATTTTGTATGCAAATACTTTTTTTCTAAAAACAAGATAGGGTCAGGCTAAATTATGCCCATGGATGTGGGATTAGCCCGACCCACAGGGGTGGCCTTGGGGGGAGGGCAACAGGGGCCATGGCTCTAGGCCCAAAAAAAAAGTGAAAAGAAGAATAGTAAGAAGGTCGAGTAAGAAGAATAGTAAACAAATTGTCAAAACACAGGAGACTTAAATCTCCATAATTCTGTTATTCTACCTTTGGTGCACCACCCTTAAATCTCCAATCTCTTTTTTTACATTTTTTTACTCCAGGGAGTCTGGGAAAGGGGGGCTAGGGGGTCTGGAGTAATCAGAGCTGAAACTCAGCCTATTGAGTTTCAAACTCTTATGTGCCTAGCAGGTTTCGAACTCGAGACCTCCCACTAGACACGGTAACCTCGCAACCAGTTGGGCTGGGATGCTTGGTTATCTATTTTTTTACGTACTACGGAGTATATTATTAGTTAATAGTTGTGATCTGATATTTTTTTTACTTTTTATCACCGAATTTAGATTTTTTGTTATTTATTTACTTATTGATTAATGCCTTGTTGAATCGTGAAGTATTCGAATTGTGAATTTGTTCATATTGTTGTTGGCAAAAGAGTCAAACAGGCCATTGAACTAACTTAAAAAGTGCAAATCACCCATTATATAGGAGGCTCTGTCCGGCTGTCGCCATTTAGGCGGTTCCCGGTGGAATTTTATGATTAAATTGTTTTGAGCATCTTCTTCATTAAGTCTAGTTTACTCATACCAAATTTCAGCTAAAAATTCATCCGGGGAGGCAGCCAAATGAATTTTTGAAGATAACTGCGTAGTTAAACAATGCAGTACATTTCAGAAAATCATTTGACTGGCTTCCCGGTTGAATATTTATCTGAAATTTGATATGCGTAAACTAGACTTAATGAAGAAGATACTCAAAAAATTTAATCAAACAATTCCATTGGGAACCTCCCTAAATGGCGACGTCCAGACAGAGCCTCCTATATAAGGGGTAATTTGCACTTTTTAAGTTAGTTCAAGAGCTGATGGAGTATATGGGTCTGAGCCCCCGGACCCACATACTCGGAAGAACAGAAAGCACAAGACACAGAGTGGCGCCCTCGTCGGCCAAGACGCCCCCGTCGGCCGAAAAGGGGCCAACTCAGATTATGGTCCTGAGCCCAAGGAACTCGGGTGCCCTCGTCGGCCGTGCCCTCGTCGACCACGCCCTCGTCGGCCACGAAGACCTCCCAGAACCGGATTTTACACTTACTCATTTGTACAGCCCATTAGTGGCTTTGTATTCAGCCCAGTAGCGGTCCAGTTGTAAATGGGCCTCCCAAGCCCAAGGCTTGGGAGCCCAGCCCGTATTTTCTCTATAAATACTCCCCTTGGGAGTAGTTATAGGGGTTACAAAATCATTCTATTGAAGCATATTATTGCACTTCTCTCTCTAGCTCTCACTTCTCTCTAGATATACTCTATCATTTGGTGCTCTCATTGAGAGCTAGAACAATCAAGTTAGCACCCTTCGTCGCTACCAAGCACAGCTAACCACTGATCATAGGGAGAACTAAGTCAAACCGCAACCTCGTCAGCAAAGCCATCCCTGAGGACCAAGAGCCCA